CATGGTTTTCCGTTGCTTCACAACAGACATTTCTGAAAATATCTGGAATGATTTCTGGCAGATAGAAGAGTTTTAAAGATGGGAAAATGAAGTTTAGAGGGAGGGAGATGGTGTGTGAGGGAAAGTGTTGAACAGAACGGCACCCTCCATTCGAACCCAGCTTTCCTCGGTACGCTTCGGTAGTAAACTCGACTCGTTACCTCTCTGACGATGAATCAGCGGATACGGAGTTCCAGTTAACGCTACCGGTCCAGCGTCTCCGTAGGATGGCAGAGAACCGTCCGGAGTGGTGGCGGTACTTCATCAACAACAGTTCACCTCACGAGTGGACTCACATGAGTGGAGTCCTTCAGAAGTTCCACTCAGATGTGGAAGATTGCATAATTCCCACAAGACTCGGAAGAACTCCGGATCATGTCTGGAACTCCTGTTCTCCCCAGCACTTCTTGTGTTCGGTTTGCTCTCTGAACCGAACTCGACTGGGCTCGACTGCTCTCGACTGAACGAACTGGTTTGAACTAGGAAGTGCCGACATTTAAAGAGTTCTATTTCCGGTTCATTTGGGAAGTTCCTGATTGGCTGAAATAGCTAATCAGGGATGTGTTTTTGTGACGTAAGAGGTCACTAGAAGTCAGAAAACAGAAAAATGTTTTGGAACAGACTGGAAATGTTTTAAAGACAGACGAGAGAAATGTTTAGACGAGTTGGGGGAAAACAGGTGCCAGCTTCTCTATATTACGTCTGAGAGGATTTAAAAACATGACAGTTCGTTCCAACAACTTGTTTTGCGTTTGACTCCGACATTTGACCGACATCACAACTTGCTCATTTCAGACAGAAGATCAGAAAATGCATGAATTACTCCGTAACACATTCCAATTTGATTTCCACTTTGAATGAGGATTAAAAAACACTAATACTGTTTCACAGTTGAATTAAAATGAGTAGTTCACTTCAACATTTAAAAATGGTTTGAACTAAACACACTTTGATTATCAAACATTTGTAAAAATAGTAATGATAATAAAAAAGAGAGTGTTCTTTCAATTGATCAGTGCAGGACACTTAGAAAGTCTCTGGATGAACTTAATCTTGTGTTTCTGGACCCAAATCAATGAAATACAGTTCTTGTCCCAGGAAGGCCCTCAAGGCCAGGACTTTGACCTGAGGCTTAGTTCACTACAGTCCCCCCTTTGGAAATCATCACCTGTCCATGGGGATGAATTCCAACATGAACTTACGCCTTCGAATGTCCTTGAGCTTGATGTAATCCAGCAAGGAAAACAAAAGTCAAAGGAGGTAATCCCACAATGTTTTGGTAATTCCATTGTGTTGATGGTAATTCCATAATGTTGTTGGTAATTCCATTGTAGCAATGCCTTA